GGAGATGGAGACAGGGCATGTAGGCTACCTCTGCCACTTTCACCCCAGGGTCACCTTCCACTAAGGGAAGATGAGTCCCCAACCCATTCCTCTTTCTCATGCTGAAGGCACATGCTGTGAACAGAAAGCCTTTCCAAGGGAAATACATTACCCAGTAAAACCACTCAAGATTGTGAGGCCCTGGTTAGAGGTGTCAGATCTAGAGAGGTCTGCTGGTTTGGGAGAGCTGACGAGACCACCAGACCAGAGCCCTCAACAAAGGGCAGGACCGAGGGAAGTGGTGGTTTTCATGATGGGGGAAAGGGGCTCTTGGCACAGCTCTGTTGTTGCTGGGTGCCATCCAATCAATTCCGACTCACAGTGACCCCCATGCGATGGAATAAAACTGCCTCCTAGGGTTTTCTAGGCTGTAATCTTCACAAAACCAGATTATTAGGTCTTCTTCCTGCAGGTGGGTTCAAACTGCCAACCTCTTGATTAGTAGCTGAGCACATAACTGTTGCACCACCAGGACTCATAGGCACAGCTTCAGGAGTCACAAAGTGTTTGGCCAAACCATACAGCCAAGCTCTGACCCACACAGCCACGCTCATGTTGGGAGAGGGGCCCAGCTGGCTTCAGGAAGCAAAAGGAGCAGGGGGAGCAGTTGTTGGCTGCTGGGGGTTCTCTGGGGAAGTACAGTGCCCCATGTGGCTGTGTGGTACAAAGCCCTGCCTCCAATGAGGAGGGGAAGGCAGTGTGTGGGGCATTCATGACCCCCTCACACTGAGCACATTTCCATGGGCGCTGACAGGCCTCACAGAAGCTGGGTTATTAGTGCTGGCATCTGACAAGAATGGGGCTTGAGGTGCAGGCTGCCTTCCCTCCTCCTGCCACCTCCACGCCTGCCTTCCCCTGGCCCTAATGACTGGAGATGTAAAAGCTAAGAAAAAAGGAGAAAAGGCAAAAGAAACAACAGCTCAGGGCTGTTTCCTTTGTCAAAATGTGTAACTGCCATGAACAATGCCCCTTCCCCAGGCTCCCTGCCCCCAGCACTTCCTGGAGATGAGGCAGGCATGGCTGCAGGGGCCTCATCTCGTCCTCTGCCTTGGACTTGCCAGACGTCCTCAGTGCCCAGTGACAGATCAGCAGCTTGGCCCTGGGAGAAATGAGGCACGCCTCGTTTGCTGGGTAGCCAGTTCATGTGCACACACACGTGTGTATATGTGTGTTCAGTCTCCTCTACAACTTGTCCAGATTCCAGAGGGGCCCCAGAGTCCCTGAGTGGCATGAACAGTTAACTCAAAGGCTGGTGGTTGAGTCCACCCAGAGATGCCTGGGAGGAAAGCTCCGGCGATCTACTTCCAAAAAACCAGCCATTGAAACCCCGTGGAGCAGTTCTACGTGACACCCATGGGGTCGCCACGAGTTGACATCTACTCCCCAGTAACTGTCAGAGGCCCAGAGCCCTGGGGAAGCAGCGACAGCCCCTCTGGTGTGGGTGGCAGGAGACTGGCAAACAAGATAGCCTACAGGAAAATGAGCCCAAAGCCTCACCAAAGAAGTATGTTGACCCTTTCTGTTTTTTTTTTTTTCCCTCCCTCCCTCCCTCCTTGTTTTCTTCCTTCAGTTTGTGATTATTTGGTACACTTTTTTTCAGAGGTCATTTACAATAGCATCAACATTAAAATCACACATGTCCTCTAACTCAGTAATTCCAGGTTCAGGACTCTGTCACCAGGGCTTATGACAATGGGTACCAAGATAAGTCATGGAGGACCCTCAACGCAGCGTGGTAGCCCAGAACGAAAGGGGACCTACATGTCCACCAGAGGGGATGGGACCGGTACAGGTCAGCACCTCCCTGCAATAGAAGGCTGACCAGCTGTCACAGAAAGGGACACACTACAGGAGAGAGAGGAGAATATCTCCAAATACATTAGGGCGGACACAAAGAGGGGGCAACTATGTGTACTATGCTACTCCGCCCATAAAAATAAAAGGGTGGGGTGGGAAGGGGATTAAGCAGTAACTGCAAGGTTTTTTCTTAAAAATAGATCTGAAATAAATATGCAAAATGTCAGTATTTGTCAGATCTGGGTGGTGAGTCCAGTTCCTGTTACCCAGTTTTGTTTCAAACTTTGTTTGAAATATCTCAAAAATTAATAAAATTGAAACAGGGAAATATTTTACATAAATGCACTTACTCTTGTAAATAGTGGCAGCTAATACTTTCACAGTACTGATAGATGTCCCTGAAGAACAACAAAAAAATCCACCGCCAGTGAGTCATAGCGACTCCCACTGGGTTTCCCAGGCTGCAAATCTTTACAGAAGTAGATAGCTTCACCTGCCTCCTGTGGAGCAGATGGTGACTTTGAACCACAGACCTTCTGGTTAGCAGGCAAATGCCTTACCCACTACACCACTAGAGTTCCTTTAGATGTCCTTGGGTGGTGCAAAATGGTTTGTGTTTGGCTACTGACAGAAAAGTTGGTGGTTCAAACCCAGCAGCTCCATGGCTCCATGGGAGAAAGTTCTGACAAGCTGCTTCTCTAAAGATCACAGTAAAAAAAAAACATGGAACTTGCTTCTGCTCTGTTACCCTTGGAGTTGCCATGAATTGGAATTGACTCCATAGCAACAGGGTTGGGTTTTGTTATAAAGAATAACTGAGGCAGGATTTGAACCCAGGCAGCTGACACCCAATCTTCTGCTTTCAACCACCACACTACAGAACAGCTTGGGAGAGGCCTCCAAGAAGCTGAACAGGGAGAGAAGCTGAAGAATGTTGGATGGTCTAGGATGGAGGGAAGTTTTTTTTTTTTTTTTATTATTGTACACTTTTTTTTTTTTTTTGCATTAGCTGTGTATCTTACATGCAGATGTTATTATTTTAAAAAATGATTATTAAAAATTAGGTAAATCCCAATTACTAAAAAATTAATGGAAATCTGACAGGCATGACACTAGGGAAGGCAGCAGGGGACCTCTTCTCAAAGGGTGAGGAAATGCTGTCACAGAGAGGTTCCCGGGCACATGGATGGTTGCAGCAGTTGTGGGCCTGGGGAGGCATTTATTCTTGTCTGCTCAGCACTCCTCCTCCATATTCTTCAGATACAGAGCCCGCCCCCTTGCCTCAAGGGTAGACCAAATGGTAACTGGCCCAGAAATGGGTACGGATCTAAACCTAGCCAATCAGAATCCTTCCCTGGGCTGCCCTGGTTAGAGCTAGTGAGAGAACCTTTCCTCTGGTTGTGACTTGCTGGCACTCTGCCCTGTGACAAAGCATGTCAGGTAGGAGTATAAATCCAGAGAGGAAGGGACAAGAACCAGCGAGTCTCACTTTATTCACATCCCTGAGTTCTGTAGCCTCAAAGCCTGCCCGTGCTTGGCCCTGATTGGGTTGGTGACATTCTGTTTGAGTTGGGTCCTGGCTGACAGACAGCCTCAAATAGCAAGGCCCAACCAGAAGTCTCTGGTTAAGGGATCATGGAGAAGATTAGAGTCCCAGCTTGGCCCCGACTGTGTGATCTCAAGCAAGTCTCTTAACCTCTACTCAGAGGTGCTGCCTGAGCTTCCAACACCTTCCTCACAGGGTTGTTGCGAGGACTTAATGGGAGAGTCCCATCCCAGGCACATTAGGACGTAACAAAGCTAGTAGGGTGACAACAGCTATGCCCACTACCTTCAAAAACAACTCCTCACTAACCACATTAAAACAAAACAGAGGCTCTGGGATAGAGGATCCCAGCCAGAAGAAAAATGACAAAAAGGAAGGTGCTGGAGTCACTTTTTATCCTTGGATCCCTCCAGATTCACACTTTGCCATGGGAGGCTGCCCACATGGCCACGTCAAAACACTCCCCTGCTCTCTGGCTCCCAGTGGCTTCAGCCAATGGTGTTGCCACAGGATTCAGAGGGAAGATGCAGGAAAGTGAGGGCAGATTCATTTCCCTCCGAGGTCTCCTCAGACTGGCTGCATCCCTCCATGGAAGGCCACAGCTCCTTCATATGTCCCAGCCCCACCCATCTGTGGATGCCTTCCTCCCTCACCTCCTCAGGCCCAAGAGTGGGAGTGGCACCCTATAGTGCTAGCCCTCAAATCCTGCACCCTGTCAGATTTTGCCCACACTATAAACATTCCCTCCCTTAAACTCTCCTCAAATTCCCCCAATTTGAGTGTGCATCTCTTTTCACTTGGACCACAACTGGTTGTCAGTGGTCCTGGACTTCCTCGTTCCCAGCCAGATAGGATCCTGCTCTGCTGAGGCCACAGCTCTAGGAACCCAACTCTGGCCACTGCCCCCATTTGTCTCTAAGCTTCAGAACACCAGAAGGTATCTCCAAAATCTATCAGGCCCCAACCACTGAGAAAGGAGCTCTGAGAAGGGCACTTCACTACTCATAGCTGATGGACAGCCAGCCCCAACAGGAGGCGCCCACGCTCACCTCTGGGCTCAGGAAGTTCCCAGAGACGCAAACCACCAATTCCTCCACACGGAAAAAGTACCTGAGAGTGTATATTTATAGAACGATACATAGAAACAGACAGATGGTAGCTACCTACTGATACAGAAAGCTCTGGTTGAGAACCATGTAGGTACATATATATTTGCCAATGGTAAAACATGAGGTCCCCACATCCTCAGTCACAACCAGCAACACCCAATTGCCTGATCTCAGAAAACCACACTTGCTAATGGAGTTGGTTCCCTCTCAGGTGGATCCCAACACGAAAAGGCTGGTTTCTGAGATAGTCTGAAATACGTGTGTGTGAATCTTTCTAAAGAAGAAAAGAGAAAGAGGGGACGGAGGGGGAGAAGTAGATTTTCATGTTGTACATGGCGGAAAAGATGGGTCTAGTTTGGGGCAAGGGTTAATCCCTGTGGAAAGGACAGCAAAGGTCTCTAGGTTGGAACAGAAAACACAACAGCAAGTCGGTCACATGTCTGCAGTCTGAGGAAACCCCTTGTAGTACGTCACAACCGGGTAAGGGCAAAATAAACTCAGAATAATACTAAGAGGTAGCAGCTGTTTATCTTCTCGGAGATTCCAAGGGTCTCTGGAAGCCAGGCCAAGTAAGGGTGTTCTCCTGGGAGAGACTGGGGTGGGGCTGAGTTCTGGTGAGGGCTCGCACGAGAGGTTGGGAAGGGTATGGGCAGATCCACGAGGAAGCTGAGGGAGCCTCTGCCATCGAACAGGCCACTTCCAAACCCAGAGTCATTTCTTGGGTGAGTAATGCAGTCCCCACAACATATAAATAAAAGTTTAGTTCTGTGTTTCCATATACCTTCTACATGGAGGCTAGCGGAATATTAGTGGAGTAACAATAATTATTAATAACAATAATCATAATAACAATAATTAATAGAATAATAATGCCTTGGGGGGCGTTGGGGGAAAGGGCTTCCTTCATATGGCGGGGGAAGGGGCAGGCTGGAGCGGGGCCTAGGTCTGGTAAAAGTGGTGGTAGTGGTGGTGGTGTTCGTGGTGGTGGTGGTGCTCGTGTCTCTGGACCGCCTGCCCGGCCTGGCTCTCGTACACCACCACGGCGGGCAGCTCCCTCACGTGGTCCCGCCCCACCACTGCGCTGCCCGCTGCCAGTGGGGGCTGCAGGCCCCGGCACCCCTGCTGGCTCTCCTTGGCTCGGTGCTTGTGCTTCTTGTGCCCAAGGGGTGGCAGGCTGGGGAGGAGGGCCGGGCTGGTGGCCAGGTGGGCGGAGGGGGACACTGAGGAGCCAGCAGGCCCCAAAGGGGGTTTGCTTCTTGCCCCTCTGGCCATGTGGCCCACACCCACGCTCTTGCCCTGGGCCTTGGGGGACCTCACAAAGTGCTTGCTCCCGTCCTGGGTGCCCCGGAGCTGCTGCTGGACCTCCGAGACCTTGGTGAATGGGGTGTCAAGGAAGTGGAAGGAGCCTGGGTCCGCGCCTTGGGGCTTTCGGTGTGGGCCATGGATGGCTTCCGGCTCGTGGGAGCAAGACCGGGTGGGGTTGGAGATGCGGGGGGGCAGTTCTGACTTCTGGGCCACTGAAGGGGAGCCTAGGAACCAAGTCAACAGACATTTCATGAGTTCTGGCGAGGTGCCGCGCCACACTGCACCCCAGAAATCACCTCCCACTCAGTTGTCCAGGACTGATCAATGCCAGCTGTGCTGTAGCAGACCTGCTCCTCACCCCGACTGCTCAACACCCCTAAAAAAACCACTCAGAAATGGGACTTTGGTTTTCTCATCTGTTAAGTGAAGACCTACATGCTAGGTCTTTGAAAATAACAAATTCTCCTTCTGAAGGACAAACAGTGTATTCATCCACTATTGTAAAAAGTCAAGGAAAGTTTTATACATGGATGGAAACTTTCTTTTTCAGTTACCAGAGATAGGAGTGGAGGGGGTGGATAATTCCTAGATAGTTTGAAAAAATATATAGAGAGAAACCAAAGATTATTAGTGGTTACCAGGGGTAGGAGGAAGGGGGAAAGGGGAAGCTTCTGTCTGCGAGGCACTAAGTTTATGCTCATGGTGGTGCCATATTTCAGAAAAGGATGAAAATAATGGTGGCACGACATGGAAAATGCCACCAAAGTCCATGAGCTGTGGAAGCTGTGATGTTGGTGAATGTCTTGTGTATGTTTTGACCGCAATAAAAGTAAAAAAGGTAAGTAACAAATTCTCCTTCTGAGAGTGAGGGAAGAGAGACAGAGAGACATGCACACACTGATAATTGTCTCAGGTCATAGAACCAAAAAGAACCTTTGAGTCTATCCCTTACATGTATAGTGGTAACCCAGAGAGAACTAAACAGATTAGAAAGGATGGGAGGGGACCTGTCGGGGGAGTAAATGAGCTTTGTCTTCAGGGATCTTAGCAAGAGTCAACAGGTGGTGTGGGGAGCTGATGGGGACAAAGTGGTATATGCGTATCAACAGTGGAATCTTCTAGAACAACAGCAAAGAGAGGCCTGAGTGATCACCTCAGGGAGCAGGGCGGCAGAGTGATTTCCTTGTAGGGACAGGCCAGCCCTTGGACTATTTGATTCTGTTTAATTTTGTGCATGTATTACTTTAATTTTAAAAATGCTTTTTATGTCACTCTGTCCAAGAAGACTCTTTGACCTGTCAAAGAAAGGCTATGTGTCCTCCCCACCCCAACAATGACCACACCCATGCATCCTGTCATACATCAGCCACACCCCCCTCACCCCTATGGGGAAGGTGCGGGAACTCCCTTACCCGGCCCAAACTGGGACGTGTAGTTCTCTATCCCAGCAAGATCTAAGTAGTGGTTTCTCCTTTCGATATTCTCATCAACGCAGTGGTGGTAGCAGCCAGACTGCTCCAGGCGGCTGTCACCCTGGAACCTACGCGGGGAAGGAAGTGAGCTGATGAGTGTCGGCCACTGGGTGAGCAGCTCCATAGGCTACTTAATAAATCCTTCATTTACTTCCTCTGGATCTTGGGAAGGGGGGGGAGGGGAAGTCATCTCTGCTTGCTCTCTGTGCCTCAGTTTCCTTCCCCAGAAGTGGCAATAAAGACCACTGCCTGGCCTCCCTAGGGCTTCTGGGAGGAATATCCAAAGCAAATATGAGGGGTTACTGATTGAAACCTGAAGATGCTCAAAGCCAGGCTTCATGCCGTGTATGCCCCCTGCAGGCAGGCAGCCTCCATCCCAGCCAGATTCCCCAGGTGGTGTGGGCAGCAGGAGCCCCCTAAACTGTTGGAGCTGAGGCTGGCCAACCCCACAGCCTGTCCCAAAGCCCAGAAAGGGTCTCACCGATATATGTGCGTGTGTGTGGGAGGGGCAGAGGTGCTGCCAGTGGCTTCCTCATCCCCCTGTAGGACACGTGGCCCCTTGCCCCTCCTTTTCAAGGCCATCCTCTGCATGCCCTCCTCTCCCTGTCCTACCTCCACCCACCCCAGCACATACCCACCTCTCCAGCCCCATGAGCAATACCCTCACACCTGTATTCACACCATGCCCCTGCTCGCACCCCTTCTCTCCTGCCCTATGCCAAACTGAAAAAACCAAACTAACTGCCAGCAAGTTGGTTCTGATTCATAGAAACCCATTGGGTTTCCAAGGCTGTAAACCTTTATGGAAGCAGACCGTCTGATCTTTCTTCCATGGAGCAGCTGGTGGGTTTGAACCACTGACCTTTTGGTTAGCAGCCAACTGTCTTAACCACTACACCACCAGAGCTTTTGTTGTTGTTGTTGTTGTTATGTGCCATCGAGTCAGCCCTGACTCATAGCGACCCCTCCTTGGGTTGCCAAGGCAGTATCACTACGGAAGTAGATTGCCCAGTCTTCCTTCTGAGGAGTGGCTGGTGGGTTTGAACCGCCAGCCTTCTGGTTAGCAGTCAAGTGCCTTAGGCACTATGCTACCAGAGCTCCTACCAGAGCTTTTAGTGCTTCTTAAATGCCAGTCATTCCCTTACCATGTCCAGTGTGTTCACAGCTTATATTATATCACTGTTACCAACTCAGGGTTGTTCTTCAAATAATCTCCCTCTTTCCTTTCCTCCCTCCCCTCCTTCCTTCTTTCCTTCCAGTTAAAGATATAGCAGCAACACATGTTACTGTTACTACAGCTTCACAAGCCTTTATCTGAAACTCTGAAATTCCAAAGTCTGAACAAGTGAATGATCTTTCCTAACGTTGTTGGGTGGCAAAGCCAGCCCTAAACGGGGGTGAGGGCAGCTACGGTCTTCAGCTCACTCAGTGTGAAGATGAACTCTCCCTGCAGAGATACTGATGTCTTAGATACTCAGATCCCACATACAATGTATAGGAGGCACATTGGGAGCCCCTTTCTAAAACCCAGAAAGTTCTGAATTCTGACACAAATCAGGTCCAAGGCATTTCAGTTAGTTTTTAAAATTAGAGTTTGATTTTTGAGTCTGTGAGTCTGAAATTGTTGGTGCCTGAGGAGAGCCTCTTGCTCTGGAAGCCCTCAGGTACAGGTATACACAGCTGGTGCTCAGTGCGGGGCTCGAATTCTCCTTCGGGTTGCACCGCCGCCTCTGCCCAGGGCCACCGTACCTGAGTGGGGCACGCTGCTTCTTCTCCCAGCTGCGCAGCTCCTCAGCGGGCTTGGTCTCTGCTCTGGACCGCGTGCTCTGCAGGTCTGAGCCCCCACAAGAAGCCCAAGAAATACCCTGTGAGCAGTTAGAGCCTGTGCTCTGCCAGCCTCCTGGCATTGCCAGGTTTTCTAAGCTCCCCAGCACTTGGAAAGTGGTCCAGTGCAGCTTCACAATGGTTGTTGGAAGGGTTCTCCGAGCTGGGACCAAACAGGCGGCTCACAGCTACCTGTGCCCCCGGGCTACTCCCCGAAACGCCTCAGACCTCATCACAACACAAGCCTTTGCTGCACCTCAGGAGATCCTGATGCCTGCTATGGCCACTCCACCTCCACGGCTTTGTTTATGTGGGTGCTTCCACCTGAAATCCCTTCCCCCCTCCTCCCTGTCTAAACCCTATGCCCTCAAGGACCAGCTGAAACCCCATTTCATCCACAGAGCAGCTCCCAGTACAGTCCCTAAGATGCTGTCAGCTCTTCCCAGGCAGGGCTTTAACCCCTCCTGAGAGAGGAATGGCCGGTCTGAGAGCCTTGCCCCCTGCAGCCACGCTCACCCCGTGGCGGCCTCTCACCAGCGGGATTGAGAAGGATGCTCTTCTTGCTCTGGCTCCCGTCAGGGGCCACCGTGAGCTTCACCCGCAGTGTCTTGCTTGATATTGGGGAGTGGTTGACGGAGGAATCGACCACCTCATAGATGGTGTGCAGCAAGCTGGTGATGTCCTGGATGGGGAGGGAAGCAGGAGACCACGTATGGCTTCAGCCACAGTGCATTTCCAACACACGGATCCCAGGCCTGGTTTACCCTGCAGTGTTGAAACCACTATGGATCCCCCAAAGCAGAGCTTGAGCCAAACACATGTATGGAAGGGATCACTTGGGAGGGGATGCTAGGAAGCAGGGGTGAGGGAGCAGGGAAAGTGAAGGAGGGAATGCTCCTAAAGAATGAGCACAATCTCACAGACATACGATGACAAGAAGCAGCAAATACATAGAGACCAAAGGTTATTAATGGTTGGAGGCAGAAGGGAGGGGGCGAAAGGAACCACTGATTGAGAAGCAATGAATTTCTGTTCATAAAACCTGAAAACCAAACCCACTGCCATCGAGTCAATTCTGACTCATAGTGACCGTACAGGACAGAATAGAACTGCCCCATAGGGTTTCCAAGGCTGTAAATCTTTACAGAAACAGACTGCCTAATCTTTCTCCCACAATACAGTTGGTGGGTTTGGACCACTGACCTTCTGGTTAGCAGCTGAATGGTTTTAACTCACTGCCATGGAGTTGGATCTGACTCATAGAGACCCCCTCTTTGGGTTCCTGACGTGGTATCATTACAGAAGTAGATTGCCCAACCTGCCTTCCAAGGAGTGGCTGGTGGGTTTGAACCACCAGCCTTCTGGTCAGCAGTCAAATGCCTGAGGCACTATGCCACCAGATTTCTGCTTATAGTGATGGGAAAATTCAACACCAATTAAGTAATGGTTGCACAACCAACCGATGTAATTGATATCACTAAGCTGCATACCTGAAAAATGTTGCACTGGCAAATACTGTGTTATATCTATTTTACAAAGAAAAAGGGGGCAGCTATTGAGGCTGCTTATGCACAACCAAATACCTCGTAGGATTTGTTTTCTTGGTTTGGAGGTTTAGGGTCACAGTTTCAAGGGACATCTCAATCAATTACCCTAATATTTCTCAGTACTTTTTTTCCGTCTCCTAGCTCACTGTCTAGTGACTGAGGTCTTAAAAGCTAGCAAGTAACCATCCAAGGTACAAGAATCTGTCTCCATTCACCTGAAGCAACAGAGGAAGATAGACAGTCAAAAACTGGAGGAAACTGAATACATGTCTGGTTGACTCCATGAACAACTGCCTCCTTTGCCATGATATCAGAAGACCCGGATGGTGCTCAGCTACCATTATGGAACATTCTGATCAAAGATTCCATAGAAGAACTCTGATCAAAAGAGGGAAGACTGAAGAACATAATTTGAAATTCTTGATGGAATCCAGACTTACTAGAGCCATTAAGGCTGGATAAGCCCCCTAAACTACTGCCCTGAGATAATCTTTAAACTTTAAACCTTAAACTAAAACTTTCCTCTGAAGTCTTCTTGGAACAAAAATATACGTATTTTAATTAGTAAAGTATGTCAGCTTTGAGCATTATGTTTTTTTAAAGAATTATCTATGTGGGCTCGAATTGACAACAACCATTTGGAAGACTGGATGGAAATATCAGAGGGCAGTGAGTTTAAGATAAAGGTGGTGGAATAATGTGGAAAAGGATAGCACAACTTGAAGAATGTAACCAATGCCACTGAATTGTATGTGTAGAAATTGCTGAAATGGTGTGTCTTTGGCTATGTATACATTCACCAAAATTAGGGGAAAAAGAAAAAGAACTGAATGAGTGAGTTAGTGCCATGGGTAATTGGAGCTCAGTCCCACTGGGGCCCTCCGAGAAACAGTGTGGAACCCGCCTTGGAACACTCTCATCCTTCACCAGCTGCAGGTTGTTCCCCAGCCCCCTGCACTTCCAGGCTTCCCTGCAAGGGCTGAGGGAACTCCCAGACACCAGAGAAAGCCCTGGTGTGAACACTGTCCACCTAGCAATATGTGAACTTCAAGGTGGACCCAGGAAACATGGTGGGAGGGCATCGACAGCATCTGCTTCAGACCTGGCAAACACATTCTGGACAAAATGGAAAACTACACGTGTCCTTCAAAGATAAACTATTCTGTGGGAATTTGTCAGAATCACACCTTCTGTCTAGGCCTCAGTTACCTGTCAACCAGACCAGGGTTTCTAAACCATACTCCATGGAATCCTGAAGCTGCTCTGGGGGACCAGCCTCAGAGACTCTTGATGTGAGGGAGGCGGGAAGAACCAATCTCTCCTCACTAGACCTCTCTTTGTTCTGGGCATCTGCTCAAGCAGTCTGAAGAGAGGGTTCCTGCTTTTAAAAATGCTGTGAACCTCTGGAGAAGATAGTATCTGTGGATCAGTCCCACAGATGTTTAATTAGCTGCCCTGTGATTCTTCACGGACATGATAGACTTAGGCCCCCTTTAGCATGCCCCCTCTGCCATCCTGAATCCCGGACTCATCAGCAGTGGAGTATCAGCACTTTCGAGAGGCAGCAGAAGCTATCAAGTGCCACAAAGGCCAGGCAGGTATGGGGACGGGTGTTTCAGATCAAATTAACATTTTTCTGCAAAAAAATTATCTTGAAGCAAAAAAAGACCAGGTTTACTGCTCTGATAGAGCCTGGTGAGACCCCCTGAGACTGTGGCCCCTAGTTGCTCTTCAGAACTGAACTCACTCTCGTGGCTTCTAGCCAAATAACAGACAGGTGTACAGGGTGAACATTTACATGAGGGAGATATACTCCTTAGAGCAAGCAATTGCTCAATCAGTCAATTGTGGGAGAACATAAGGGCAGTGATTGTACAGGGAGATAGCTCAGGAGACATGAATGCATAGGAAAGAAGGACTCAGGGAACAGGTAACTACAGGGAGGACATGGGAAGAGAGCTGTCGTACTGTGGAGAATTACAGTCAATGTCATGAAACAAAGTGTGTATGAACTGCTGTATGGAAAATGAATTTGCTCTGTAAACATTCACAAATCACAATAAAAATAAAATAAAAACATTGAAACTCAACCCCTGTACCTATCTGGAAATAGGGGCTTTCTTTTGTTATGTTAATGAGATCATAGTGGAGTAGGATGGGTCCCAAATCTAATCTCTTCTGGTGAGTTACAACAAAAGCAGAATAGACACAGCTGGGCACACACCTATGGGAGGAACACACCTACCATGTGAGGAACCATCTACAAGCCAAGGAATGCCTGGGGCTACCAGCAAGGAAGGAGCTCTGGTAGCATAGTGCCTAAGGCACTTGACTGCTAACCAGAAGGCTGGAGGTTCAAACCCACCAGCCATTCCTTGGAAGGAAGGTTAGGCAATCTACTTCCATAGTGGTACCGCCTCAGAAACCCAAGGAGGAGGGGTCGCTATGAGTCGGGTTCGACTCGACTCAACAACAAGCAGCAAGGAAGGGCCCTATCCTAGAGGAGGTTCCCTGTTTTGAATTTCTAGCCTCCCACACTCTGACATGATGGATTTATGTTCTTTAAAGCCACCCATTTGTGACGTTTTTGTTACAGCAGCACTAGATCACTATGACAATGGGTGAGGAAGGAGGAGGGCCAACTGGGGTTACTTGCCCTGCGGCAATGCAGGCTGAAAATCGTCTCCGAGAAGCCAGAAATCTGGAATCTTCTATTAAATCTTCTCGAGGCCAGCTTGGGATCAGAGAGACTGCCAGTTAGAGACCCAGGCTCTGGCTGCTTGTTTGCCACTCACTGGGACCCAGCTGTTGGAGACAGGCCTGCAGGGGACCCTCTGCCCCCGTCTTCTCCTTTCCCATACAGAGCTTCTCAGCATAGCCATGTTTGCCTGCTCTCTCTCACCATCTTGGGAAGCCCATGAAGAAGGCACCATTGGCTCCATTTCACAGAGGAGGAAACTGAGGTCTGACAACATAATCCCCCAAGTTCCACATACCTTGGATGGCGTGGGGCCCTGGGTGTGAGCCCAGAATGTCCTGGCTGATTCAGGTTCTAGGGACAGATATGCTTTGGCAATCCCAGCTTGAAAATCAATCCCATTGGCTGCAAGGGGCCTGGCACACACTACTATTTACAGTGCCCATAAAATTCATTGCATGAATGAGTGCCTGAAGGATGAACACGTACTTTCTTCTGAGTTGGAAAATCGGCCCCGACACTGGCTCTGGGTTGGGGATGCTGTGAGAGGTGTGTTGCTCACACACGGGAACGTGCAAGCCAATAGCTAGAAGCCATGGAGGGGAACAGCATTTACAGCCAGATTTGAGGAATGGCTTTGGGGCTAAAAACAGACCAAGGGAAACACCAGACTGGGACCTCCCTTGACTCGACGCCAACCTCCTAGCTTCTTGTAAGAAGAAGAAATATTCCAGAGGGCTCTCCGCCAGGCCAGGCTGGGCACCCTCCTTGGAAACCCTCACTCCTTTGTTTCCTCTGGTTAGCATGGGGCTTCAGGACAGGAATGCGTCATCATAAAACCTGTCTGCCTCCGATTTCTGCAAGGTCTCTCAGGTGTAGGGCAAACCCTTTTATCGTCAGCACCTCCTGAGCCAAAAGGAATCCAGAAGGCGGCTACAAGGAGCTGCGTTGTCTCTGCTGCTGCTGCTGCACGTGTAAGAAGAGAGAGAGAGAGAGATGCCCGCACCACACCTCGAAGGGTCCAGCCTGCCTGCCCGAGAGCAGCCAGTGGTGGTTGGGGGTAGAATTCTCGCCTTACGTGTAAGAATTGAACCACGTGGGTTTGATTGGTGGCCAATGCCCCTCGTGCCCAGCCACCACCCATCATCACTGGAGGCTTGTGTGCTGCTATGATGCTGAACAGGTTTCAGTGGGGTTTCCAGACTAAGACTAGGAAGAAAGGCCCAGCCATCTACTTTCAAAAAACAGCCAGTGAAGACACTATGGTCCCACCTGTAATTGTCCGTGAGGATGGTGCAGGACCACACAGCATTGCTTTTCATTGTGCATGTGGTTGTGATGAGTTGGGGGTAACTCAACAGCAGCCAAAAACAACCAACCAACCCGCAATGCATTTCCCTGCTGATAATTTTGCCATCTCCCAAACAGGGTAAGTAGTTGCTCCTTGCTTCTGGAACAAGAATAATTCCTTATAGAGGCAAAGGGGAAGTTTCTGTTTGCGGGGCATTGAGTTTATGCTAACCGTGGCAGAATATTTTGGAAAAGGATAGCAATAATGGTGACACAACGTGAAAAATGTCATCAATGTCCTTGACCAGTAAATGTGGAAGTTTTATGTTGGCGAATGTCTTGTGTATGTTTTCACCACAATAAGAGTGGGAAAAAAAAATTAAAATTAAATAACTCCTTATACAAAATGGGCATGGCTCCGTTAGCAGCTGTGACCTTGTCAAGAAGTCCAGGAGTCCTGCAAGGGCTCTGTTTTACTGACAGGGAAGCCAAGACCCAGAACAAAGAAGCACAGAGCCAGTGTTCAATGAAGGTCAGAAAGGTGAGTGTCTAAGGCTTTTGCTCTCTGCCCCACACTGTCCATAACTGTATGGTCCCAACCACCTTATCCACATCATTGCTGGCATCTGGCCTCACTGGACTGGGCTTGATCTGTCACCTAAGCCATCCCCTGCCTCCAGGGAGGGGGCCCCAAACCAGGATGAGTCTTCACAGCTTCAAAGTACCAGGCCCTTCTGGGGGCTCTGCCTACCCAGAATCCACTCTCCATTTTCTTGATTTTATGTTGTGAGCCACTCTCACTTTCAGTCCAAGTGGTCTGGGTGTCAAATAACTCCCCCCAACCCCTCGGCTTCAGAATGAGCACATGACCTGGGCTTGGCCAATTAAAGCATCACAAACCCAGGGCAAAATGACTGGCTCAGAGCCAGGCACATGATACAACCACAGCCCAATGAGCTTGGGTTCTGGAACTTTTGTGGACACACTAGGAGAGTTTCTGAGTGGATGGGATACAGGATAGAACTGTCATCCATCATCTTGCTACTGCCAAGGGGAGAGGCTGCCTGACAACAAAGGAACACAGACAAACAGAGCTGAGGAGAAAGCAAGTCCTGAAGATATTGGTCCTTGCGAAGTCAGTGCCCCAGATGGAATTCCAGCTAAAGAACCACTATGTCCCTGTGTTTAACTTAGAGGAGTAAGAACGCTGGGATTCTGGCACTTACATTCCAAAGAGTCCTAGATGAATAAAAGCTAGCCACAGCTGCCTCTCCAACCTGTTCAAACATCCTCTAAAGCTCAGGCTGAGGGGGGTGGGGGGGGGGCAGCATTAAGGCCCGCTTCTGCACTGACCACACAGAAGAAATACTCAGCCCTGAAGCGGGATAGGAGGTGAGACAGTGAAGCTTCAACAGCTTTCCAAGAACAGCCCTGGGGCTCTCACATGCCAGACGGGAGGCTGGGCGTGGGCCCAGCCATGCTGCCCTCAGACCTGCCACAGGCCTTGCACCTGCACTGAGGGCTGCCTGCAGAGGAGAGGATGTCAGGGAGGAGCGGGGGAAAGACACAAGGCAGTAAATGGACGATGCCAAGGCCCGAGGCCAAAGAGAGGCAGAGACTCAGCAACAATGCAACCAGACCATGCCCCTGCTTAAAACCACTCTCCAGTGGTTTCCAGCAGAACCTGGAATCACACCCAGGTTCCAAGGCAGCAGCTGTGCCAGCCTCCTTTAGCTCCTTCAACCCTCAAAGCACTTCCACTCCCCCAGGCCCAGCACTCTCTCTGCATATGTCACACCTCAGCTTATACGCTGCCTCCTCCAAGAGGCCTCCATCCCTGGCTGCTTCTGCCAGTCTCTGCCATACCACCTGTTTACTGTCTCCATTGAACACATCCCAGCTTATAATTACTCTCTGTTGTTGAGGGTCGCCTCCCTCTTCAGACTGTCAGAGCCATGAGGCTAGGAACTGTGTTGGGTCTGTGTCCTCTGGGGCCAGTCCTAGGCCTGGGCACACAGTAGGTGCTCAACATGCAGAGAACAGGGCTTGGAGAAAGGTGAGAGGGATGCAGGGGGAGATGGGTATGGGAAGAGGGATGAGGGAGGACAGACAAACATGCAGAGGGACGGGCTTGTGAGGTGGCCATGAGCAGAGAGGCTAGGGACATCCAATGACCTACAGAGGCTGGCACTTAGAGTGGTAGGTGTCCATTCTTCATTGTAGGAAGGAGGCACTATATGGCTTCTATGTGCCTTCCCACCCCACCAGCTCCTGGGCAGAATGGCTGAGGTGGGGCAGTGGCTTGGGGTAATCCCAGCCCTGCCCCCAGGGCTCTGGGACCCGAGAGAGAAGGGAGGCTGAGCATGATTCCACTGGAGCCTGGAGTCCCTCTCTGGGGAGGCCTCAGGGCTCTGTGCCTGCCCTTGTCACTAGTGGGAACCATGCAGGGTCTCCCAGCCACCCCTTCCCATCACTTCTCTTCATTCCCAGGCACCTCCAGGTCTCCCTGAGTCTCCCAGCAGCCCTGCTCCCTCCATTCCCCTCGTCTCCCTACTCAGCCACTGCCCACCTACTACAGCCATCCCTTAGAAGGGGATTCTGGGTCTAGGACTGACTTCAGGGAGGAGGGACAGTGGTGGCAAGTACCCGAGGCATGTGGGGCCCGGTCCTTGTGCCCAAGGGTATGGCAAGTGGCAGGCAGTAGCATAGGCACACTCACCTCACGGGTGACCTTGCCATTGTTGTCAAAGTCGTACAGGGTGAAGGTCCACTCCTGCCGGCTGTCCTCCTCCACAGACACGTCGCACTGCAGCTCCTGGGACACAAACACATGGGTGCACATGGTCACCTACCAGCTGCAGCACCAATCGTGGGGTGGTGGATGCCTGGCCCGGAGGCAGGGTCAGGGGCAACTCCTCCCTTCTGCCTTCCTAAGGCCCTGTGTGAAGGAGGAGCAGAGTGAGAAAGACATGAGGCCTGGCCTGCGGAGCAGGGCCCACGGAAGTGCCAGACACAGGAGCGAGAGCTGTGGTGGTGGTGTGGCCTCCTGGAGGTTGAACTTGGACCAAGGACTAGATGTTGCTGGAAGACAAGAGGGAACAGCTCCATGGGAAGCCCAGGCCAGACTCCCAGGATGGGCTATCTGAAGAGGAAGGAGAGGATGGACATTACAGCTAAAGCCAGGTCCCAGCTCCTGCTCGGCCCTCCACAGCTACCTGACCCTGGGCGTGTGTTGCTCTTCTCTGTACCTCAATTGCATTGTATAAATTATGGAAAATAACATTATCTACCACATATGGTGGCTCTGCAGCTATGGTGAACAGTTCAGAGCAACCCGAAGATCAGAAATTTAATGTCCCCAGAGGCAACCCAGAATGAGCGAGGGACAGGAGTCGGTGGGTAAATGCCCCAGCCTCTCATCCCTCCATGGGACATTCTGCATGCATCTTATTGGGCTCCTTGGAGTGCTGCCAGGTGGTATGACCCCCCAGTTGCCTGTGGCAGTGACCTACACATTAACCTATGCTTCATTGGCTTTCCTTCTTCCCTGCTCCTGCTTCCTGGTATACTACTTGCCCTCATGTCTTTGTCTCAGGGTCTGCTCTGGGGAATTGGAGTAGGTAGCCCGCTTAGCCCAGTGTCTGGCCCAAAGAAAAGCCCCATTAATAGCAGTAGCTATTATTGTCTGTGTTGCTGTTGTTGTTGTTGTTGTTGTTAAGTGCCGTCGAGTCGTTTCCGACTCATAGCGACCCCATGCGCAGCAGAACGAAACACTGCCCGATCCCGCGCCAGCCCCACAATCCCTGCTATACTTGATCCCATCATCGCAGCCACCGTATCAATCCATCTCCTTGAAGGCCTCCCCCTCTTTCGTCGACCCTCCACCCTACCAAGCATGACATCCTTCTCCAGGGAATGGTCCCTTCTGACAACATGACCAAAATAGGTGAGACGAAGTCTGGCCATTCTTGCTTCCAAGGAGCATTCTGGCTGCACTTCCTCCAGGACAGATCTGTTAGTTCTTTTAGCAGTCCACGGTACTTTCAGCATTCTTCGCCAGCACCACAACTCAAAAGCATCAACTCTTCTTCGGTCTTCCTTATTCACTGTCCAGCTCTCACATGCATACCAGGCGATTGGAAATATCATGACTTGTGTCAGGCGCACCTTAGTCCTCAGTGAGATATCCTTGCTCCTCAGCACTTGAAACAGTTCCTTCGCAGTTGACTTTCCCAATGCTACACGTCGTCTAATGTCCTGACTGCTGCTTCCGTTGGCATCGATTGTAGAACCAAGCAATGTGAATTCCTTGACAACCTCAATCTTCTCTCCATTTATTGTGATGCTGCTCATTGGTCCGGTTGTGAGGATTTTTGTTTTCTTTATGTTGAGATGTAATCCATACTGCAGACTGTATTCTTCAACCTTCATCAGTAGGTGCCTTAAGTCATCCTCACTTTCAGCAAGCAAAGTTGTATCGTCTGCATATCTCAGGTTGTTAATGATTCTTCCTCCAACCCTGATACCATGTTTTTCTTCATATAGTCCAGCTTCTTGGATTATTTGCTCAGCATATAGATTGAATAAGTGTGGAGACAGAATACAACCCTGACGCACTCCCTTCTTGATTTTAAACCATGTAGTGTCCCCTTGTTCTGTTCGAACGACAGCCTCCTGGTCAAGGTACAGATTCCTCATGAGTACAATCAAGTGCTCGGGGATTCCCATTCTTCTCAATGTTGTCCATAATTTGTCATGATCCACACAATCAAATGCCTTTGCATAGTCAATAAAACACAAGTAAACATCTTTCTGGTGTTCCCTGCCTTGAGCCAAGATCCATCTGACAACAGCTATGATATCCCTTGTTCCACGTCCTCTTCTGAATCCGGCTTGAACCTCTGGAAGTTCTCTGTCAATATACTGCTGCAAACGTTTCTGAATTATCTTCAGTAAGATCTTACTTGCATGTGATATTAATGATATTGTTCTATAATTTCTACATTCTGTGAGATCACCTTTCTTTGGAATGGGCACAAATATGGATCTCTTCCAGTCAGTTGGCCAGGTAGCTGTCCTCCAAATCTCTTGGCATAACTGAGTGAGTGCCTCCAATGGGGCATCTGTTTGTTGAAATATCTCAATCGGTATGCCATCAATTCCCGGAGCCTTGTTCTTCGCCAGTTCTTTCATTGCCACTTTGACTTCTTGTTGTTGGTGTTAGGTACCCTCAAGTCAGCTTTGACTCATAGCAGCAACCCCACGTACAACAGAACAAAACAGTGCCCGGTCCTGTGGCAGCCTCACAATAGTTGCTATGTTTTGAGCCCATTGTTGCAGCCACTGTGTCAATCCATCTCATTGAAGGTCTTCCCCTTCTTTGTTGACCCCCTACTTTACCAAGCATGATGTCCTTCTCCAGGGACTGGTCCCTTTCGATAACATGTCCAAAGTATGTGAGACAAATGCTTCTAAGGAACATTATGGCTGTACTTTTCCCAAGAAAACCAATGTTTGTTCTTCAGCAGTCCATAGTATATTTAACATTCTTCACCAACACCATAATTCAAATGCTTCAGTTCTTCTTCGATCTTATTTACTGTCCAGCTTTCACATGCATGTGACATGACTGAAAATACTATAGCTTGGGTCAGGTGCACCTTAGTCCTCAACGTGACATCTTTGCTTTTTAACATTTTAAAGAGGCCTTTTGCAGCATAATTGACTAATGCAATATGTTCATCTAATTTCTTAACTGCTGCCTTCATAGGTGTGACTATGGATCCAAGTAAAATGAAATCCTTAACAACTTCAATCTCTTCTCCATTTATCATGAAGTTGCTTATTGGGATTTTTGTTTCCTTGATGTTGAGGTACAATCCATACTGAATGCTATTGTCTTTTATCTTCATCACTAAGTGTTTCAAGTCCTCTTCACTCTCATTCAGTAAGCAAGATTGTCATCTGCATATCACATGTTATTAATGAGTCTTCCTCTAATCCTGATGCTGCATTCTTCATATAGTTCAGCTTCTCAGATTATTTGCTCAGCATACAGATTGAATAAGTATGGTGAAAGGATACAACCCTGACACACATTTGTCCTGATTTTAAATCATGCAGTATCCCCTTGTTCTGTTCAAACGACTATCTCTTGGTCTGCATACAGGTTCCTGATGAACACAATTAAGTGTTCCAGAATTCCTGTTCTTTGTAATGCTATCTGTAATTTATTATGATCCACACAGTCAAATGTCTTACATAGTCAATAAAACACAGGTAAACATCTTTCTGGTATTCTGTGCTTTCAGCCAAGATCCATCTGAAATCAGCAATGATATCCCTCATTTCATGTCCTTTTATGAATCCCATGAGAATTTCTGGCAGTTCCCTGTTGATGTACTACTGCAACCATTTTTGTAATTATCCTCAACAAAATTTTAGTTGTGTGTGGTATTAATGATATTCAATAATTTCACCATTCTGTTGGATCACCTTTCTTTGGAATTAGCACAAATATGGGTATCTTCCAGTCTGTTGGCCAGGTAGCTGTCTTCCAAACTTCTTGGCATAAACCAATGAGTGCCTCAATCATTGCATCCATTTGTTGAAACATCTCAATTAGCATTCTGTCAATTCCTGAAGCCTTATTTTTGACCAATGCTTTTAGTGCAGCCTGGACTTCTTCCTTCAATACCATTGGTTCTTGATCGTATGCTACCTACTGAAATGGTTGAACGCTGACCAATTCTTTTGGTACAGTGACTATGTATTCCTTCCATCTTCTTTTGATGCTCTCTATGTAGTTCAATATTTTGCCCATAGAATACTTTAATATTGCAACTTGAGGCTTGAATTTTTTCTTCAGTTCTTTCAGCTTGAGAAATGCCAAGTATGCTCTTCTCTTTTGGTTTTCTAATTCTAGGTTTTTGCACATGTCATTACAATACTTTACTCTGTCTTCTTGAGTGGCTCTTTGAAATCTTCTGTTCACCTCTTTATTTCATCATTTCTTCCATTCGCTTTAGCTACTCTATGTTCAATAGCAAGTTTCAGAGTCTCTTCTGACATCCATTTTGGTCTTTTCTTTCTTCCCTGTCTTTTTAATGACTTTCTGCTTTCTTTATGTATGATGTCCATGAATTCATCCCACAGCTTGTCTGGTCTTCGGTCATTGGTGTTCAATGAATCAAATCTATTCTTAAGATGGTCTCTGATTATTAATACAACAATAGTCTTATTATCCTTATTCATGGCAACCAGAAGGACTTAACCATAGAGAATCTGACTTGAGAGCAGTGAGCTCCTGTCACTTGAGCCATGTATGTGGAGGCCCCCTGAGCATAAGACAGATAATTCTAGAAAAGATGGCTGTTTATGTAAAAAGGCTCTGCAAAAGGCCATTAAGATCCCCAAGATTCGACACCAGGCTCAATTGGTGCAATGTAATACATAAAACTCTTGTTCCACAACCTAGTTTTGTGAGTAGCAACTGGGGTCTTAAAAGCTTTTGAACAGCCATCTCAGATGCAGCTAATGGTCTCCTTTCATCTGAAGTGAGGAAGAGTGAAGAAAACCAAGGGCATTTGGAAACAATCAGCCCTAGGATATGATGTCCCTCGAAATCAGAAGAACTAGATGGTGCCTGGCTACCAATGCCAACCACTCGGGAAAGGATCAAAACTGGAGATCTTGGATAGAGTGGGAGGACAAATGTGGAACAAAATTCAAAAACACAACAACAACCAGAATTACTGGTCAGATGGAGTCTGGTGGGATCCCCAAGACTATGGCCCTGGGATACACTTTAGGCCTAGGATAGGACTCACTCCCAACGACTGGCTCTCAGCTCGACAGTAGAAAGACTTCCATGCAGAACACCCAAGCCAGGGCAATGCACCCAGCTACTCTATGGAGATACACCCCTTGGAGTAATCAGCCACGGAGGCAGTATTCACTTGGAGGGAAAGCTGGACAGACAGGAGTGCAAAACTAAGAAGGGCACAGGGATGGGGAGGGGTCACAGGGAAGGGAGAGGAGGAGCGTGGGTTAGGGTTGGGGATGGTAATCAGGGAGTGAAACCAAATGTACATGAACTGTTGAATGTAAAACAAATTCTGCTCTGTAAATTTGCACCCAAAGCATAATCAATCAATCAGTCAATATCCCCAAGATTCACTGAAAAGAAAAACAGATGCTCTAGAACATTCTGTCCCAGGTCTTGCTCTGTCTGCCTCCCCTTCCTCCGCCATAGAGCTTGTGCCCTGGCTGGCCAGGCCTGAGGACAGGCTCAGCCTGTGCCCGGCTCCAAACACTGGCAGGAGTGTGCCCGAGCATGGTGTGCCCACCCCTGGCTTCTGCAGCTCAAAGCCCTTTCCCTTCAGCAGCTCTTGGACCAGCCCACGCTGAGTTCAAAGCCAGCCTTCCCTTAGTTCTTATCTGCCCGTCTGATACCTGCCAAGTGCCCACACTGCTCTCGGAGGCACTGTTCTATGTGATACAATACGCACATGCCTAGACACACACACACACACACACACACAGAGAGTCGTTACCTGTTTCCCTCTCTCTGGCCCCTCTAATTGGCTCTACAAGAGCCATCTGGCTTGAAGTGGATCAAGTAACCACCCCACCTCTCCCTCCCTCAGTCATGTGTGCATCGTCTTGCCCTGCTCGCCACCTGGATTTCTTAAGGACCATTGCTGAGTCCTAGGCACATAGCCAGCCTCTCTCCAGAAAGACCCCCTCAGGCTTCCAAGGAAGCAAAAGGCTTGGGTGTGGGCCTTCCCTTGCTTGCTGGGCTCTGCCCCCTGAAGACCCTACAGGGACCCAGTGGGCTCAGGATATGGGGAAGGACTTTCCAGTTTCCTGGAAGAAACTGGCAACCCTAGCTCCTCAATGAAACGCTGGCTGGCCTGTTGCCCCTCAGCTCCTGCATCCAGGGCCCCTGGTGACCATCGTGTCCCCTTTCCATGTCATCTCTCACTGTGTGCTGGATCTCTCACGAGCCTCCTCCGTACCACACAGTGCAGCCTCCTGTTCCCAGGCATATGGCAGCACTGCCACACCTCCAGATCTTTGCTCCTGCTGTCCCCTCTGCCTGTATGGCCTTCTCTCTCCAAACTCCCCCGTGCGTCACTGTCTCACAACCCTACCCCTACATGCAATGACTCAACTTGGATATCCACCCTCCCTGATCTCTGCTTGCACTCACAGCACCCTCGTCTGGACACTGCACAGTCTGGAATTAACAAAGTGTCCATTGCTCACCATAGGATGCAGGTGACCCCTCCCAGGCTCCCACATCCTGTCACATCCCTGACCAAGTTCCTGGGCCTGCCAGCTTTCTCATCTGCCCATTCGCCACACTGTGCACTCCCTATGAGGGCAGGGACCACGCCTACCCCCTGCTGCTGGATCCCCCGGCATCCAGCAGTTGCTGTTTAAACTGCTGGAAGGAAGAATGAGAGAGCTTGCTCAGTACTGGGCAACCCACAAAGCACTTAAGATGCATTAACTCATAATTCTCAAGACATCCTTCTGAGACCAATACAGTGACTATCCCCATTTTACAGATTAACCATGTAAAGCAATGGATATATTAAAGGACTTCCTTGAAGTGGCACAGCTAGCATTTGACCCAGGGCCTGCTGGCCCCAGAGCTATTCTTCAGGAAGGAAAGAAGAGAGGGAAGGAGGGAGGTAAAAAGGGACAGGAAAGCCCGTCAGCTCTATGTAGGCAGGGCGGAGGCTTGCTTAGGCATCCCTCGGCACCTGGCACTGACTGTGCTTGGTGCATGTTGTTGTTGTTGTTGTTAGGTGTTGTTAGGTTGAGTCGGCTCTGACTCACAGTGACCCTATGTACAACACAAAGCAACACTGTCTGGTACTGCTCCAGCCTCACAATCCCTGCTATGCCTGAGCCCATCTTGCAGTCACTGTGTCAATTCATCTTGTTGAGGGCCTTTGCCTTCCTCAATGACCTCTACTTTACCAAGAATGATATCCTTCTACAGGGAATGGTCCCTTCTGACAACATGAGCAAAGTAGGTGAGACGAAGTCTAGCCATTCTCTCACTTCCAAGGAACATTCTGGTTGCACTTGGTGCAAAGAAGGAGCTTAATACACTGCTGGACCATACAGTGTCTTGTTCTGTTGTACCAAGGGTCGCTATGAGTCAGAGCCAACTTGATGGCACCTAACAACAACAACAACACACTGTTGGGGTTGGTGGAGCAGCAGGAGGACAGGATGTGCACAACGAACTCTGGGAGGGCACATACTGGACTGGACACATCCCTGCCCCGAGGCCATCCCTCTCATTGACCACACACAGGAAAACTGATGTCCAGAAAGAGTCAGAGAACTGCCCAAGGCCATCTGCCTCCTGACTATCTTGCCTTCACCTGAAAGGCCCATATGGTTGCCCAGAACAGCCTCAGGGGCTAGAGGGCAGGTTTCACCAACAAGGACCCTGAGGCCCAGAGAGCAAGGTGGTCACACAATGGGATCTGCCAGGGCAAGATGGGTCTCGTTTCCCCTCGCCCACTCCCATATCCTTCCCCCGGCTCATTGGCCACAGCTCAGCAGGATCCTTTGGCCACCACTGCATGTGGAAAGGCCAGGGGTCCATCTGATGGTCCTTGGGGAGCTCTGCTGGGCCAGCAGAGGCCCCAGATGTGGAGGTGAGGCCTCCTACAGAGAGGCTTTCACATGTAGATGGCTCACCCGCCCTCCTCCCAAAATGTACCTATATACCCTGAGGAAAGAAACCAGAGTTAGGGCCACAAAAGAAAACTTACCTCAAACTTCAGCTGCTTCTTGGAGCCCAGGCAAGGCTCACTTGCTTTCTCCATCCTCTTCTCATCTGTACTGCCTGGCCCGTCAGTCTTCTCAGGCGGCAGGGCCACTGTGGAGGACAAGTGAGAAGGCATCAGGAGGAGCTCCCTGAGCTTCAGTTGTGTGGCAGGAAGGGCTCCCCATGTCCAGATGTAGCAGCTGGGGCAGCTGTGCTCCCCTGTGACTTTGTCCCCAGGCCTGGTGTGGGGACATTCTCACTTGAGTGGTGGTATCTGTTCCTGCCCTGTCCATTTGGTGGAGTCAATCTCTCTATCTAGTCACTCATCTTGCCGGTGGCTGCCCAGGGGAGACCCCTCCAGGCTGTGTCCACAACGGCCACTCAGGAGCCTGCTTCCAACTCAGAGAAGCAGCCTTCAGCCCAGATGCCATCTAGAGGTGCACAGGTACACAGAGCAGAGTCTGTGGATAGGCAGATGAGAACCGGGGTGCTCTGGGGACTAGATAGAACAGCTTGGGAAGCATGTCCATGTTCTGCACAGTCTCCCTGTCTTCCATGCTGATCCTATGGCCTATGCTCGAAGACACTGATGGGTGACCAGGAGGAGTTGCAACAACTGGGCTCAGCTGCATCAGTGAAGGGTATATCCATAGGTGTGCACACATACATATACACACAAGCATGTACACACACAAACACACACACACACAGTGGTATGTGTGAGAGAAAGCTCACTTCGTTCCAACACAGCCCTTTCATTCAGCTTCTGCTCACCCAGGGAGTCCTCACCCTCTGCCAAAAGTCTTGGTCCTTTGTACATCTTTCCAGGAGCAGTGGGAGGTAGATGGAAAGCTTGTAACCTACTGACACTATTTTCCTGTGAAACACCCCCATGAGATCCAAAAGGGCAGCGTAGGGCAGCATCCAGCTTTTCTGACCTAGGACATCAGCCTACAAAATTCCATCAAATCTTGAAAATTCCCACAAGACTCATTAGCCCCTTCTGCCCCTAGGTCTCTGCCCGATTAAGGGGACTTGGGTTTCCCTGGGGACTTGCTTTTCCAAAACATGTTCATAGCTACTCTCTCATTAGACTCTCCCAGCTCCCCTGGGGCAGTGACTTCTGTTATCTTGTTTTATAGGGACCTACCCCCACACTGACCATGTGAATTGCTGAGACAACTTGGCCGCTATCTCAACCAGAAATCAAGGCACACTGGACTTTCTGGAAAGCCAGAAGCCTGGAGAAATGAGGCTGCCAGGACAGGAAATAAAGTGGAGGGATTGTGCACCTCCTCACACCCACCCCTGCCACCCCCAACATACTCCATCTTTGCAGATGAGGACCCAGGAGTGGCCCTCTGTTCTCCCTCAGCACCCTTGTCCTGTGGGCCCCAGGGCTCTTTCCCAGCAGTTGTCTAAAGCACTTCCCATCATGCCCCTTACCTTGGCAGCCACTGTGGGTAGGATCAGGCCATGAACCAACACAGTGCCAGGCCCTGCAGAGCACTCCTCAACACTTGCTGTGCACGGACTCACAGTCCTCAGCGCAAGCTCGTGAGGCAATTACTGTATTTTAAATAACATATCTATATACTCATCGTTGTTCTTGTTAGCTGCCATTGAGTGGGCCCTGACTCATGGTCTGGAAGCTCCAATGAAACCCGTTCAGCATCACTGTGACATAAAAGCCTCCACTGACAGACAGGTGATGGCTGTACATGAAGTACACTGGCTGGGAATCGAACCTGGGTCTCCCTTATGGAACGCAAAAATTCTACCACTGAACCACCAATGCCTCTAACTCTTAGCTTCATTTTCCAGGTAGGAAAACTGAGACACAGAGAGGTGATGTTCTCTGCTAGTGAAGAAGGATCTGGGATTTGAACCCAAGCAGTGAGGTATGAGTGAGGCTGGCTTAGGTCAGAGGAGACCTGGGGCCTCTCGCAACCTGCTTGGAGGGAGATGTGTCGGTCTGATAAGTGGGGAGCCTACCTGTTCTAACCCTCTATGTACAACCCTGGTGGGTCCCCTACCTTCTCTAGACATACTGGTTTTCCCAGCTGTAAAGTGGGGGTGATATAGGTACCTTCTCAGAGGGTGCTTGTGTGGATCCACAAGCTATGACTGTGAAGGGCTGAGCACCCAGGGCTCTGAGAAACCATCAGGGGAATGATCCCCCTACCTCCAGTTACTCTTATGAATCAGGACAATTGGGAGATAAGCACTATGGATTGAACTGTAAGTGTGGATGTAACCACCTTCCACAATGCAATCTGATGGAATGTATTCAGTCAGTGGAGATCATACTGGTGTAGGGTGGATCCTAAACCTAATCACTTTTGAGTTATATAAAGAATCAGAGACCAGCGCATGCACATACTAGGGAAAACAGGGCATGTGAGGATACCTCTACAAGGCAAGGAACCAAGAAATGCCCAGGGCTACCAACAAGGAGCAAATCAACATGACTGAACTCCTGGTTTGGACTTCTAGTCTAAAACTGTGAGAAAATAAATTTTGTTTCTTTAACATCACCCACTTGTGGTATTTCTGCGATAGTGGTACTTGGAAACTAAGACGCGAAGTTGTCTCAAAAGTGAGGCTTTTGGAGTACAAATGGATACAGAAGCATCATCTCAAATACACACAGACTGGACTGGGGAGCAGGGAGGGGTGGGGAAGGCTGAAGACAGGAAGTCTCTGGGTCACAAGTCCAGACAGGTGAGGACAGGAAAGCCACTCAAGGCAGCAACTGATGGACCTGTCCCAGAACTCCACCCACTGTGTCTAAGCCAACTGGGCCTCCATCCTGCACTGGCCCCCAGGCCCAGGCCACAACTTCCCAGTGCTGTTAGGAGCCTACCTTGAGGCCCTAACTCCAATCACAAACCCTAGCTCCTCCCTTAGAGTTGGGAGAGGGGGTTAACAGAATGAAGCCAACGAGGAACAAAACTAAAAAATATCTGACTCCCCAAAAGACCTTCAGGTTGGGGGCACTTGGTGGCCTCACTGTTGGAGTGGTTGTTAGGGAAAAGTCACTGATACTGACTTGATTCTGGCATGATCGAGGAAACAAAGCCCATCCCTCCCCACTCCTCCCAGGTAAACAGCTCAATGGCAAGGGATGTCCCATCCAGTCCCCAAGTCCCACTGGAAGGTGGGACTCCAATTCCCAGACAATTGGGTGGGTGATTAGCCAGTGGCCCAAAGAGAGCCAAGCACATGGCCTGGACCACCCTGACTCCGCCACCCCAAATCTACCTGTGCCCTGCTGGACCGCAACTGCCACTGTCACTGGTGGGCGAGGTTACAGAGAAATGGGCACCGTGGTCATCCCCATTGGAAAGATAAAAAATGAGGCAAAAAGATCAAGCAGTTTCTCTGAGTGAGTTGGGGAGCTGTGTCTCTCCCGATCACCAGCACTAAGTGAACCCTTGTCCAGAAGGCTCCAGCGTCTCTAGGACTTCTTCTCTACAAGTACAGCGTAGCTCGCAGGAGGCAGGAACAGCAGGGAGATCACATTCAGGCTCAGACGGCTGAGTTCATATCCTGGCTCCAGCACGGACTTGCCCTGATAGCCTGGGACAAGGTGATCAGCTTGTCAGCCCTCAATCCATTCATCTACAAAACGCAGATAAAATAGAGCTCCCTCATGGGGCTATTGGAAGGATGAAACCAGAAATGTGCTTACTTAGCACAGTGGCCAACACACAGTAAGTGCTCAATAAATGCATCTGTTGCAAAGGACAGAAATGAGCCATGGTCCCCACAGCTGATGGCACAGGTCCAAACAACCCTCCTCACCCCAAAAGCCCCATTAGAGAAACCACAGTGACATCATGACCTGCAACGTTCTCCATTCACCCAGCAGGGGAATTAAAAAAAAAAAAAAGAAGAAGAAGAAAAGAAGAAAGGAAAACAAAGCCCAGCTCCATCTTCAAAGCTGCTGCTTCCCTCGGCAGAGGTCCTGGCTGGAGATGCAAGCCAGCCAGGCTTATCGAAACCAAGCCTCAAGTTCAAAGGGAAGTTATCTGAAAACTACCTTCAGGTTCAATGTTGCCTTTCAAGTTCCACTTGATAAAACCCGAAGAAAAGAAACCTCTGTCCCTGCTTGCTCCTTTTCAGGAGTACCTCCCTCCCTCCTCTCATGCTTGCGAGAGTCTGTTCTCCCTCAGGTCCTCCCTGACTTCCCTTCCTTTCTCCTCATCCTGGGAGGTGGAAAACATCCCTCTTGACCCTTCACCTACTTCATACGTTTGTTATCCAAAGACCAGCAGGGTCTATGTAGCCGTTGTCACTAGCAGGTTCCTCCTCCTGTCCCAGCTCAGAAAACTACCCTGATGTCCACACTGCTTTGTGGTCAGTGAGCCCACCAGGGTGCCCCTCCAGCACAGATGGGCAGTAGGACTGTAACCCTCCTTGCTCTGAGATGCTGGGGGCCAGGAAAAAGGATACTCGGCTCTCCTGCTGTCTCGACAAAAAAGGGCTTTTGGTCTTTTCACTACCCTCTGCCCAATGGCCAGAAGAGGTGGCAGAGAACCAGTCAAAACCTATGCAGACAGAGGCAGAGAGCCACATGTGAACCCTCAGACACAAGAGTCAAACTGCCACCTGCCCCCAGCCATCCCTGAGGAGGACAAATTGCCATCCGTCTTCAGACAGAAAGCCGCATCGATGGCTATGAGCAGGTGTAGGGTACCTGCCACAGGCTGCCCTGGTCAACCCAGCAGGGGACTAACAACACTCTGTAAAGACAGTCTTTGGAACCAGAGTCCCAGGCCATTCTCTGTTCCTTATGCCTGTTCAGCCCAGCCATTTTTTTCTCAGCAATTATTTTTGGGGGGCACAATTTCAGGGGATTGCTCCTTCACTAGCAAGTTCCAGTCACAGCAGGTGATGCTGTGAACTGGAAGAAAAGGAAGAGACCAGGAAGGAATGGGTGGCATTAGGAGGAATGCAGAGCTTCTCAGCTGCCTACGAAGCACCTCTGGCGGACTTGGGGCAGGGGTTGGCAACCTGAAATCTAAGGGCCAAATGTGGCCCACAGCCCACCACTTGTTTTTATGAAGAAGGTTTTACTGGGACCCAGCCACACTCACGCACACCGC